AACATGAAAATCGGCACAATGTGTTGTAACCCCTGTTGTTGATGTTTTTGTATAGGCCCCTGGACATATGGATACTCCACCGTATCCATGAAAACATGCTTCGGCTTTTCGACCCGGAGACGTAAAGGGATACGATCGCATGGGGAAAACGATTGCAATCGCCTCCAGTTCTGTGGGGAATCGCGGCTCACTCAATCGCCTAATAAATGTCAACAATAAAGTGTCATTTGCATTCAGCAACAATGCTTCCAAAGAGCTGGCATCGCCGAATTTCCATAAAGTTTTTCACTTCATACATTATAAGAGTTCGGTATTGGGAATCGCGTTCGACCTGCCGACGGCCGCCGACGCGGAATGGATGCCTGTGGCAAGAAAAGGACAGGTCGTCGCTGATTCGAGTCTAAAACTTTTTCTATTATTTTAAAATGCCTCAATGATGGCTGGAGGTGAATGCGGCGGCTTGCTGTCATTTCTGCGCCTGATTGGTGCGGAACCAACAAAAGGACATTCTTGAAATGCGGAACAATTTTCCGATGCATAGCAGACATCAGAAGATCGATATCTGAAAATAGAACTATGACCATTCAGATTAATGCGGACAACATCGTAATTTCAAAATAAATATGAAAATGCTTTAGGCAGTTTTTGTTCTGTTCTGACGCCAACCAGGTTTCACTTGAACTATTTCATTCATTTGCAGAAAAATGCTGATTGAAGCTCTGTTGTATTTTAATCACTCATATTTGGAATAGATTGATTGAAAGCTGCGCAAATACAGAGGATGTTTTTTTAGTATTCAATGGTTGAGTATGTCAGGATCAACGTAAACAGTAAGACAGTTGCCTGTAGAAAGCAAGAAACCAACGTGTACGGCAGGTGGTGAGGGTAGGAATTAACTGGAGCCATTGATCCCTACAGCTCGGTTATTGTTTTCGGGACGATGAAACTTCCTCATGAAGAGAAACTCTGAGAGGAGTAGCTTGCTAAATCATTGTGAAGCGAGTTAGTGGTATCTTTTAGCATTCATTCAGCGAATGGGGCAGAATTGTCTTTAGCAACCTGGACTTAGCCACGAGACTGCATCGACTCTCCTAAAACACAAAATCACCTCTTCGACGAGTTTATGAAAACCTCAGAGCTTCAAGGAACCAATGAGGTGACTGACCATTGAAATATTGAGTCATGGAGAATAAGTTATGTTTCACACAAAAACACCATTTTTCAGTTTGCTAACCATCATTTTCGTTGGTACTGCTTCTGACGTCCTTCAAAAATCATACGTGCAAGACTGGTAATTATGACACAGCTGACTTTCGTCGCTATACATGTTCAACGTCTAGAAAACTGTTCGGATACTTGATACGTTAAAGATTTCAGAAACGGTTTTGCAGTATTCTGAAGTAAAGGGAATTTTGGAAATTGGTCATCCATAGCTTCAGAGACTGCTGCACTATGATGCTACGAAGAGGCCTCTTAACCGCAGAGGTCGGATGGCTACCGCTCTGCCCAGCGATATGCTCTAATAAATTATTTCATCGCAGTCATTACATATAGTTTCATGTGACCAATTTTTTATTATTTATGTGAGTAATAAATATTTATTCGAGTAATAACTCTCGAAAGCTCTTCCTCACACAAGCACCAAGGCAAAAATTCAGCACTCGTGAAGGTTCATCATTACTGCGGTCGCTCCTCCAAGTTTCATCTATTGATCAGTAGTTTGC